AACATTTGTAATGTAGCTCTGTATAGATAACATTTTTTATAAAGCTCAGAAAATTAAGAGGACATCCGTGCAAAAATCAAACAAAAATGACATTTTTATGGCAAGGGTTATCTTGCACACAAGTAGACCCTAGTAGGAAAAGAAAGGCTGTGTATTTTTTTTCCTCAAATATGTTTTTATTTTCGAGAAAAACGAACTTTTCGCTTTCACCCTCTAGAATCGATGGATCGGGTCATAACAGGTCGACATTTTCGCTCGCTTTGCTTTTCAAAGATATTACATCAAGGGAAATCTAACCAAAGTGAGCTCTTTCATAGACTCTTCGTCTTCTATGAAATGAAAGTTATGTAGGAATTGGTTGCTTAGAAGCTTTTGGCCATGCGAAAAAGCAATGTGTTCTCTTCCGTTACAAAAAATTTCGGTGAAGAAAACCTCTTTTTTCACCATGTGCCATTATTCAGAATTCCACAAAATTACGTATGTAAATTGCTGAAGGAATGATCTTAAAAATGACGTAAAGTCTTTTTTTGGGCAAATGTTTTCTCGCGACGCAGGAAACTCTTCTAAGTAGCACACGGAAGACATAAAATCACGCAATATGTTGATTGCGTGACCAAAGAGTTAAGGAGCATTCCTGCCTTCGAAATGACTTCGGATCGAACAGTAGAACTTTTTCAGAAACAAATGACATAGCTATAACCAGTTTTGTTAAATTACTTTGCCTTTTATCATTTGAAGTTTGTTTCTGCAGAGATATTCTGCCATCGTTCTGTCTAGTACGATTATGCACCAGTGCCAGTAACGGTATACGATTAAAAACTTTACTGTTCTCTTACTTACGAATCTTAAGTTTCTGCCCGTTGTTTAACTTTCTCTATGTGCTTACCCGTGCCTTTTAACTAGCACTCGATAAAAACCAACAGAGTTTTCAAAGGGAGTTAAGTGGACTAAGTGAGGGCTTGCATGACCTAATTAGCATAATTGCAGTTATGGTCGCTCGACGGTCATTTTTTAAAATAAGCACAATTACGTAAAAAAGAAAAAGCAAGTCTAAATATCCATTGGCTCTGATTTTGCCTTTATTTTTACCCAAGTTAATTTTTTTCTGCTGGAGTGAAAACACTTTTTAATTACCGCAATGTCTGTTCGCTTTGTGACGTATAGGCAAGACAATTAAATTTACAAAACTTAATTAACCGCGAAAGTTCGAGTCCAAAAGAAGTACAAATGTCATTGAACACTTTGATTGAAAAGTTCGAAAGCTTAGAATTCTTAACTAGTTCACAAATGCTATAATCGTTGTACAAGATTGGATGTTCGTGCTGAATAGAAATTTCACACATCACCTTTTTACTCATCGCTTGTAGCTGGCTCTCCTTTTCTGCTCTGATTTGCTCAGCGTCATCGCTCTGGTTGACCTCTTCGCCGTCGAGACTTTGCTTTCAGAGCAGTCAAATAGCTGCTTGCCGTTTTCGTCTTTCTCAGACCTCATCAATCTTGAGACACTTGCAGCATCTGCCTTTTGTCCCGTTTGTTCATCAGTTTCATACTTAGCTATCAAGTAGTCCTTTTGCTTATCAGTGAAACGAGTATTGTGAGAACGACTCTGCTTTAGGGCCCATCCCATTTCAAGAGAAGCTACAAACGATGACGGGTGGATTCCGTGTCCAGCAGTTGCGGCACAGCACTCGGTCCCCTCTCCAGTCTAGAGGCATACCCTACCACGGCGCGGTCATAAAGAGTTTCATATTCAAAAACGTATTTGTGTCTCCCACATTCGAGATGCTTCTGTAATGACGAATTGCGTTGATAGGACTTAATGCAACCCTCTTCCGAGCAGAAAAAAATATTTTAGTTGTGGAATCGCGCGATTCTTCACTCATCGGTACCTTCATCAGTGCTGTCGGTGCTTTTGAGATGTTTTAGCAAACTCACCTCATCTCGGCTTGATAGGAACAAAATTTGCCTTTTTGCTTTCGCTTGCTGCACGGCATTTCAGCGTTAAAACTTTGCCCTGGTCAGGAACATGAAACTTGCTCCAAGGAATGAATTTGCCTCTTCCAATTTTGTAGCCGGATCTCCATACTCTCACACCTTCCTTACCATACTGAACGTTGTTGACAAAGCTCACAACATCCCATTTCACTGGCGTTTTGATGGAAAACAAAGGAGGCCTGCACAACACTGCTTTTACTCCAGGGACACCTCCAAATGATTCTATTGCCTCCTGCATTTGAGATACCGACTCTATATCGTGGCCTGAATTCAAATGGATGGCCATATGGGATTTGATCGTTGCAGCTTTCCGATCGCAAGATCCCTTCCCTCCTTGGGGATCTGAAAAATCCATTCTGCGAAGGAAGAGATTGTTTAGCTCTGCTACTTTGCTGGCTGTAACCAGGGTTAAAGCACAGTGGTAATACCCGGCGTTGTCTTGTCTAAGATAAATGGATTGTAAATGAGGCATGACATCCTTCAGTCGACGAAAGACGTCGTTAAGTATGGCAAGAACTGCAGAACTGTCCTGATTACACGGCTCAAATAAGTGTACAAATGTCATCATCTCAATTTTGCCAATATTTCCCTTTCTCGTCGCAACCGTGATATGCCATGGCAGATCTCTCTTACCAAACCAGTCTGTATGGCTCTCCCTAAATTTCTTTGGTAGATATTTCATTGCCCGGTCTAAGACCAGTAAGGCAGAAGTTTCATCCAGCTCATCGATGACGTCTAGTCTGGACTCGTCCTGGTTTGTTGAACGCAGTAAATGCGATTTCATGGAACTTATGCATTGTTTGGACTGTAAAGTCACAAAGGCCAAATCTTCTTTCGTATCGGTTGTGCCTCCCACTTCCTGTACAGCTCTATCGATTTCGAGAGAGATCAGGGCGGACATCCCTACAATCATCTGGAACTCTGTAGGTATTCTGGCTCCTTCGCCAAGCTCAGAACGGTGGAATGGACAAATTGTTAAGGCGTGTATATCCTTTGCACTCATGTAAAAAATACCTGCTCGGGCAAGGTTAAGTTCACTCTCGTTCTTAACTCCGGCAAAACACCAAGCACTTTTATGACCCTGTACATCCTTATTGCACGACACCAAGGGAACCACCTCAAATAATTTACTCCTGTCTTGTCGGTCGTACGAGCAAGCACTTCCAACTATAAACTTAAATGAGCAAGAAGCTTCCATTTCATTCACAAGCGAGACTTCCGATTCAAAGGGGGCGGGATACAATTCTTTTTCTTAGTTTCACGTGAATCGAATGGAGGATTGTTTATTAAGTTTTGTTAATTTAATTAATTGTCTCGCTTTTAAGTAGAAAATTCAACAAACATCATAGTTTTATTCGCGCAGAAAAAAATAACACGAGTACAAATTTAGGAAAACTCAGAGCTAAATGGATATTAAAGACAAATTATTTCTTTTCCTCGTATTTGTGCCTCTTCAAATGACGTCGACCGACCCCACTCGTAGGTCTAAATTATTCTGTCACACGAGCACGACGACTCGTACCGCAATTATGCAAATTAGGTCATGCAAGAACCTCACTTAACTCCTGCAAGGGCCTCTGTAAGATAACATTTTGTGGATTTTCGTTTACCATAGGCTAGTTAAAAGGCATCGGTTAGCAAGTCAAACAAGGGGCAGAAACTTAAGATTCGTATGCGAGAGAACAGCAAAGTCTCTTAATCGCATACCATTGCTAGTATGGTGCATAATCGTAGTAGACAGAACAATGGCAGAATATCTCTGCAGAAACAAACTTCAAATGATAAAAGACAAAGTAATTTAATAAAACTGTGTATAAATTTGTTATTTGTTTCTGAAAACGTTCTCCTGTACGATTTTGAGTAATTTCAAATGCAGGATTGCTCCTTAACTCTTTGGTCAAGCAATCAACATATGGCGTGATTTTATGTATTCTGTGTGCTACTTTGAGGAGTTTCCTGCGTCGCGAGAAAAAATTTGCCCAAAGAAAACTTTACGTCATCTTGAAGATCATTCCTTCGGCAATTTAGATATGTAACTTTGTGGAATTTTGAATAATGGCACATGGTGAAAAAAGAGGTTTTCTTCACCAAAATTTTTTTGTAACGGAAGAGAGCACATTGGTTTTTTTACATGGCTAAAAGCTTCTAAGCAACCAACTCCTACACAACTTACATTTTACAGAAGACGAAGAGTCTACGAAAGAGCACACGTTGATAAGATTTCCTTAGACGTAATATCTTTGAAATGCGAAGCGAGCGAAGATGTTCAATTTTCGACCTGTTATGACCCGATTCTAGAGGGTGAAGGCGAAAAGTTCGTTTTTCTCGAAAATAAAAACATATTTGAGGAAAAAAAATACGCAGCCTTTCTTGTCTTACTAGGGTTTACTTGTGTGCAAAAATTGGGACAATTTGAATTTTTGACCCTTGCCATAAAAATTTCATTTTTGTTTGATTTTTGCACAGATGTCCTCTTAAGAGTTGTATCTTATATCTGATAAGTTAAATTATTCTTACTGCTTGCTTACTGAATGTTGCAGAGGAATTGTGAAGAAAAAAAATTTCATATTGAACACTTTTTGGACTTGATTGTCAAGTTTCAAGATACTGAAAAAAGATGATAGAAATAATGGAAAAAAGGGAGAGATCATATCTGGTTTGTAATGTAACCAAAAATACAAATACAGTTGTATCACTAATGATTAAAGAAACTATTCTTTTGTTGACTAACACATGACAAAAAGTTTTATTGTAATGCAGAGACAAACTTAAAATAATTAAGGAAAACTTTTAAAAAAATTAATTAAAAAGAATCAAAAGATTTAAATTGGAACAAAGGAATCCTCATAACATCCAACATTATCAGGGCAAAACAGTTCTAGTGACAAACAGCAACTTCAATTTTTGGGTGGTATGGAACATGTGAGAAAGTCATGAAATCTAAATAATGGAAAAATGAGAGAGAATATCCTACTCCAGTCCTCGGGTAAAGGTGACTGGGCTGATTAGGACTGAGCTCTAGACACTTCCTCTATCATTATCCGGGATACTGATTCCCATCCAGTGTAAGCGTCACCCAGTGTATGACCACTGAGACACTTTCCTACCCATAACTCCACAATAACCCTGCCCTGTGGAATGTTTTCACAGTATCCCTCAAATGATCTGTGATGATGCAGATTGGGACTCCCAGATGGCCAACCGTTGTATACAGCAGCCTCAATTGTCATTGGTCCAATGCATTCATTTCCGTTAAACTTGAAGAACCAACGGTTGCATTTACTTGAAGTGCCATAGACTCTCGTATTTCCCTGGAATGAGACTTTAATAGCTGTATCAGATTGCAACTTGTTAAATGAGCAATCCTATAAAAAATGCAGAGAAGACAGTCTTAGTGAAAAAGAAATGCTTGTTAAAAGTGTTATAGGAAATAATTTGATGATGACCTTGTACTTTTCCTGCCTGCAAGAATGCACAGAATTGTTTATTGATATTTTTAGTTCCCCTGCATTTCTCAGAAGTCTCTTTCAGAGATGGCCATGACAAATTGGCTCTAACACTTAATTTATTTTTCATTGCATTTTCTAGATATTTCTGTACCTTAATCTTTCCACTATCTCTACCATCATTCAGATTTTTCCACACACACTGTTTCCAGTTGGTCTGTGACACTGCACCATTCACGATTTCTCCTTTCTCTCCTTTAGATCCCTGCTCTCCTTTCACACCCTTGATTCCTGGCGGTCCACTTCTGCCACGTGACCCTTCATGACCTTTATCTCCTTTTATTCCCATCATTCCAGGTGCACCATTTTTACCAAGTGACCCTGGATTTCCTTTTTGTCCTCTTGTTCCTATCATACCTCTCGGTCCCTTGACACCAGACTCCCCCTTAGCTCCATCTTTTCCTTGAGGTCCTTGCGGCCCTGGAGCGCCAGGAATTCCCGGCATTCCTGGTATGCCATTCGATCCTGGAATCCCAGAAAATCCGTGAGCATAAACGGATTTCTGAGAAACAAAAACACATATAGTAATTGGATGGACGTACTTGTTGTTCATTGATATTTACGTGTTCGCCGAAGTAGCACAGCAGTTTCCTCAGAAACTAATCACGTTGAGAATTCAGCTTCGTTTTAGATGAAACAGCTCGGCACATTGAATGATCTCACTGCGTTGTATGTCAAGCATTGATCTATTTTGTCTTTGAAAACTTATGATTGACGAGGGATTTGTTTTGGGCTTAGCTTGGCAGACATGAGTGGTAAACTAAGGTATGACAAGTGAACGATTCATGAAGTACATGCGATTTTGTAGTAAATAATCGTAGATAAAGCATGCTAAAGAATACCTCACATGGGTCTTTGTCAGCGCCAGCTTGTGGATTCTGTTGTTGAGGACTGGTGGTTGTTCCCAATGAACTTACTTCTGTTTTGGATGAGAAAATTAACAAGGCAGCGAGGATCAGAAGCTTCACCATACTCCGATAGTTACTTTGCATGAACAGTTCGTGTTCTATGACTGAAATATATATCTCCTTATGTACGCGCCTATTTATATCCTAGAGAATTTCCTTTAAATGTAAAGTGTAGGAAGCGATGGAGCTAGATGATAAGGAAGTCTCAAGCTTCTCGAGGTCAAACACGGGTAAACAACTTAACTCTGATATCCTTATCACGTTTTTTAATGAAGCACGTACTCCTTACAAATACATAGAATTTCCCAGAAAAATCTTTGCAGTGAAATGTTCCTGTTCTGATCAAACGTAACATTTTGAGGAGGCATTGAGATTTGACGAAGTCTGTGGCTGACGTGATCTTCGTTTGGCCTTTGGACGGTACACGCGTATTCTGCATCAATTCTTAAACGTTCCAAATACTGAGTGTTAGACCTTTCAGACACAGTGTGATAGGTTGTCATCTTCAAACTCCATTCATATGTTTTAATGATGGTGCAAATTTCACACGCATCACGCTGCAAATCTTGTTAAACTGAAACAATGTTTTTGATTGAGAAAAATCGGGAATTTTTTTAGTTATTTTGACCCGGCCAGTCATTAGTATCACAGAAAACCATGTTGTAATAAGAAAAATGTGGCAGTAGAAAAGCGGCCAAGCCGTTCAGATGTTCAGTATGGCGTTCCTGGAGACCTGAAGCTCATTTCAGAGAATTAGAAAAGTGCATTTTTTATCTTCCTGTACAGAAGTTACGTATAGATAACGGATGCTCATTGAAATTTTCGACGTTTTTTTTTTAATTAGCCAAAGCTTTTTAGAAGGGGCGAGTTATCATTTGTCAGTCAAGAACTATTACAGTACCTCATGGCTGCTTTTTTAGATCTTCACTAGAACGGAGATAAAATTTTCTCTGAAATATATTGAACATTTCTCAGTACAACCTTAGTTCTTAATTGAGCATATTGACCTTCTGTTTATTTTACAAAATCTAACCTCAAGGAAATAAAGTTTAACAAAATATTTCAATTAAGCAAACGAAACTGGTATTTATCTGTAACTTGATCTAGCTGGTGAGTCAATGAACACAGATGAATGACGGCCATGATCAGGATGTTTTCTTTGCGCAATACATACTGACTTTGTTCTTTGTGAAGCATCTTCTGTACGTGCCTCTTTGTATCCTAAAGAATTTCAGTTCCTTTAAATGTAAACTCTCAGCCACCATTCTAAAACAAGAATTTCAACAAGGAAGCGATGGAGCTTATCAAATGGAAAGGAAGTCTAAAACTACTCGAAATCAAACACGGGTAAATAACTTAACTATGATATCCTCATCACGTTCACGAATGAAGCACGTAATCTACATAAATTCAGAGAAATTACCCGGAAAATCCAGGCCACGTAGCATCCCTTCGCTGATCAAACGTGACATATTAAGGAGGAAAAGATATTTGGTTAGTGACATGATTTCCGTTTGGCCTTTGGACGGTGATCAGGTATTCTGTAATGGGATTGCTTTTCATCAAAGAGAAACGATTTTTATTCGGTAGATGAGTTTGCGCTGAGTAAATCCCAGTACTTCTTTAATACATTAGATTACACTATGCAGATTTGTATAATACTGCAGCCTCCTGCATGGCAAGAGTGATGTTTAGTTTATTGAAAATTTAATTTCACATCTCATGTTTTGACTAAAGGAAATATAATAGATACTATTTTTATGAGTTTAGGCTCTTTGTGCCTGCTCGCCCTTAATCATTTTGTATTTACTTTTTATCGACAGTAAATCACAGATGTGCCACCAGATTCAAAGGAATTACCAGAAAAAACAGGATGGAGGAAATATGTCTCTTTAAAGAGAGACTAGTAAATAAAATTTAATTGAAAACATGCTAACTCAGTTGCGAGACTGTGATAAACATTTTTCTTTTGTGTACAAGGGACAACTCTTTTTTCTTCATCAATGTGTTTGAAGGGTTTCAAGATTATTTTGCAAGAACTGAGAAAAAGACGAAGGAAATGATGATGAACAGTGAGAGATCCTTTCTGGTTGGCGATGTAGCCAACATGAAATGAAGCATATACAGCTGTATCAGTAATGATTAAAAAAACTGTAATTTTTTTTTTTATTAAAACATGCTCAGTTTTCCTTCACAGGCAGGAACTACCTAATTTACCGCCTACAGTATGTCGTATTGAGGCCTTAAATTCCTTTAAATTCTTTATGATTAATCAGGTATAAGGACTACTCTTCCGTATTAGACATTTATTTTACCTGCTGTGCATAAACTAAGGAAGAGCACTTCACATGTCAGGTTTAATGCGAAAACAAACGGATTGCAAATTACTCAGGAAAAACTTAGGGAGGGAATCAAATTGTCAAGTTTGTTAAAAATACCAGCTTTTTTTTGTGGAGTAATGGAATGGTAACAGGGAATATTTTTAGAGCAAAAGTTGTTACTAACAAAAAGTTAGACATAAATATCTTGCGATATTGAAAATTGGAGACAATCTAGAAAATCACGATGATGGAAGAATGAAAAAAAAGTTAAACTTTCCTTAAATGTTCCCTACCAAGGTCTGTTTCGAAAAATGCAATAAAAAAATAGCTCGTGATGCTTGTTTTTTAATTTATGGAAAAAATTAACCGATTTTAAACGACATCGACTAAAAACGTTCTTCGAGGCATTGCATATAAGATCATGATTTCCATCCTCGAGTAACGGGCCTCCTGCGCGTTTTTAACTATATCTTTTTTCCACTGATAATTTTTCTCTGAATTAAGGGAGATAATTTTTAAACCAAATTATCCAATAAACAATATTAGTCAATGTGCCTTTTCAAGAGCAAAAGATCAAAGTAGCTGTTTACCTCGTCCTTTGCCTGAAAACCAACACTTATTCAATTGATTACTTGATATCTATGCGCAGTGCATGATGCTCAGTGCATGATGCACAGCGCAATGCTGAAAAGTCATCTTAAGTGCACGCGATAGGAGTGATCAGATCTGGGCTCTTGACACTTCCTCTAACTTTATATGGGACAATAATGACCATCAAATGTAAGCCTTACCCAGTGATTCACCGGGACATCTTCCTACCAATAATTCAACGGTCACCTTGCCCTGTGGGATGTTTTCACAGTATCCCTCGATATATCAAAATATCAAGTAGCGATTGTTAGTTGATCCAATACCAAGTTCTCCAAACTCACATCACAAGAATTGTCTGGCAGACAGAGGAGAATTACCAATGAGATCTTGGGAGTGAAAACGTAAACCAAAAAGTTGACAAATAAAAATCAAACCTCGTACTTGCATGTGTTACAGATGAGATTGTTTTGTTGTGTTTATTTATTTACAGCAAGGTTTACTTTGTAATGTGTGGCACTTCTAAGAGGGTGGCAAAGGGTTCTTGCGTGACGCGTGATGGCCCCAAAACTTGCAGGGTGACGCGTGATTGAACCCAAATTATCCGCGTGACGCGGGACCGGACATCACAACTTGATGCGTGGTTTTCTATTTTACAAGTGCGTGACGCGTGATTTACAAAACTTACTAATTAGATATCCGTGATAGTGAACGCTCTTTGGCCAAGAGGAAACCAATCATTCAAAGTAAATAGAGTCTTACAAAGATCAATAAACCATGGCAGCCGTCAAACTTTTTTCTGGTCTTTTCCGTCCTTTGCTGACCTTCGCCTGACCTTTGATGTCTTTGATCTTCCAGGTAGGTCCAAACAATCGTAACACAATATGCATAAGTTAATGTAGTTAACATTTGCACAGGGACTATGTTCTTCAGAGTTCTTTTTGTCGACCGCTTGGTTGTCTAGTTACAACAAGTAAATCATCTTCATTTGTCTAACAAAAAGGAATATGACAAGTGAAACGCAATTCATTCCAGGATAAAATCGTTGGATACAATATAATTTTCAATAATACATCCAATAGGTTGAAATCTTAAATTGTTAGATTAGTGTACTTACTCCTTTATAGGTGACGCGTGATTGGTTAAAAAAAAATTACCCGTGATGCGTGATTCGATAGAAAATTCGACGTGATGTGTGATTGTAACCCCCCCTTTGCCACCCTCTTCTGAAACAACTTGAGTGAAAGATCAGCTGAGTCATATTTGTTTGTAAGCATTTTAGAAACTTGACTCTTTATTCTCAAGATTTGTCTGTTTTTGTTCTCCTGAGCTGCCACATAAAACATTTCTAAATGGAATTGATTGTAGGTTTCACTAATTGTCAATAATCAACTAAAAACTACAATTTTTAGGGGAAGTTCTTTGTTAGCGGAAATTTTCCTCTTTCAGGCATGGAAACCCCGATCGAAAGGGGGAAAAATTAGAATGACCTATTCCAAGTTGTCTTTCTTGAAGTTCACAATCAGCTTCCAACTGAATTCTCCTCTGCCCTGTGTTACAAAAAGTGACTAAGGACTGGGAATGAGTGAGGATTAAACAGGAAAATGGGAATAATATGTTTTATCAACCTACCTAATTGGATTCAGATTTGATGAGTAAGATCAAGTAAGTAAAGGACAATAAAAAGCGATTAAACAAAGGGAGTTTATTTTATAGTCATGAATTTTAAACATCTACAATAATTCCATATTTTGCTCACTAAAACTTTTTTCAAACTCGCTAATACAACAGACTTCTTCTGCAAGGCAAGAGTAATGTTTTGCTTAATTAAACCGCCAATATACATCTCATCGTTTGACTAAAAGGAAAATTATAGATACCCTTGTTATGAGCTTAGGCCCTCTGTGCTCACTGACCCTTTGACATTTTGTATTCACTTTTTATTTTAAGGAAATTCCAGATGTACCCCCAGATCCGAAGGAGTTTCTAGAACAAACAGGATGGAGAAAATATATTTCCATAAAAAGAAACTAGTTGTGAATACAATTCAATTAAAAAAATATTGAATCAGTTGTGAGATTCCATGATAAACATTTTCCCTTCAATTTGTGATCATGCAACAAATCTCTTGTCTTCATTTAATGTTTAAAAAGGGTTTCAAGACTATTTTTCAAGATACTGAGAAAAAGATGATAGAAATAATGGAAAAAA